CTACTCCACATCCGAGAGTAGAGCTGCCACAAATTCAAAGTTAAGAGCCAAGTTCAGACATCGATCTCGAGGTGCCCGCATGTGACACAGAAATATTCAATGGAGGCTATGAAGATTGGCCGTCCTTCCGGGGCATGTTCACGGCCGTATACATCAACCATCCAAAATTATTAAAAGCGCAAAAATTGTATCACCTTCGATACAAGACTAATGGTCAAGCAGGACAATTTTAATTTGACTTAGGAAGCTCTAAAACCAAGATATGAAAATGAAAGAATATTGGTCGATAAGTAACGACACTAATAAACTTGCCTAAAATAGGCGTGGAGTCATACCGCGCCCTTGGCTACTCCAACAGCAGTACGCCGTGCTACCTTGGAGATTTGCAGCTTATATGTACTACTAGGCAAAATATTCGCCTAGGGGACCCAGAATATTTAAATAAGTATAAGCTTCCTCCTCCAAATATACCGCTCCACCTGGGAAACTAATGGCACGCCCTAATATAAACCACCATATACACCACACCTGGGAACAAACCTGTGAAAACTTACAGGATCTCACCAAAAACGACAACACATCTGACTTCACCAACCATACAAAAGAAACTGGATCATCATTCGCTAAAAGAATTCGTTTGGTCAACAGGCCTGAGCGCCACGGAGAGATTAATTCTGCGATCCTGCGCGCTGTTAAGTTGATTTTACATTTTTCATACGACACCGATCCTGACGATAACTTCTTTCGTGCTTGGTGCTTATTTTTAAATCAGCTACCGAATATATTTTTAAAATTACACGTGCATGCATTAATTGTATCTGAAACATTAAGTTAAATAAATTGCTTACGCCCCATACGCGTCCATTTTTATTAAAAATAATTCCGAAATTTTCTTTGAAATAGTGTTACAAGTATTACTTTTATATAAATAGTGTGTGCTCCCCAATATCTTGGGTACATTTTTAATCCATATAATATATATATTGGCTGAGTTTTTTATACAAAATAAGCTAATACTTTGATTAACGTGCTGGTCAAATAAAACACCCCTATTAATACTATTTTAATGAAATAGTCAATACGGTGAAAATGTTATTTACGAAAAACGTATAATAAACATTTTTTTTTAATTTTGAACACACTCTTATATTTAAAAATAAATTTTTTTAAAAGTTGATCGTTTACTTTTAACATAATTCCCATATCATATATTTTTTATGTTGGATCCAACTGGACAGTCTGCTAAATTTTACTAAAATCAGTTCAGTAGCTTAGGAGTTAACCCCGGAGAAAACGTGACGTTTGTTTTTGTTATTAAACAAATTTTACTAAAATTGAAAATATTAAGAAATCGTAAAAGGAAACATAACGGAATAAAAACATATGTGATATATATCATCCGTATCCACAATTGCGAGCGAATCAAATTAAATTTCACGAGTATACAAGAATAAAAACATTGACTACATATTATGTTTATATTACATAAAAAATAAACGACATGTTATACCATATATTAGCAAATATACATGATTTTTATATTTACATTTTATTTATATGATAATTAAAAAAAAATATTTTAGTTATTGAAACATTTATTTAATTTATGCTGCATATTTCATACAAACAGTTATAAAAAGAATAATCGATTATTTTTTTAGTATTGTATTTATTAATTTTAATTTGGAATTGTCCATTCAGAGGTAGGCTCTATACTAATAACACATTTTCCATTTCCTTCGTGCTTAAATTGGACATATACATACATGCATTTGCAAATATATGTTTGGATTTTGCATTTTTCGTGTCTACGCTGGACACGGCGTGAATATTTGTTTATATATATATATATATATATAGAGTATCCCCCGTATAATAGAATTTCAACGAATGGAGAATTTTCGGCTCAATTAACCGGGGAATCTATTAACCGATACTCGTTTAATTGTACAATTCCTTTAATTACAGGAATCCCGGTTAATATACAACTTATTCAATTTGAAAAAAAAATCATATGTGCACTTAAGTGTTTATTTAGTTTTTAGTAATAAAATTTAAATAATATTTTTAACTTTTAACGTAAAAAATATGAAGAAAAAATTCAAAACAATGCACTTATATGTTTAGAGATCATTTTTATAAACATAAAAAAACTTAAGGATCAAACTTAATATTATTGTTTATATGCAGCACTTGCATTAAAATATTAGGAGATCGTGAAATAACATGCGATCCATATTCCCTAATTCACATAAAAACTTGTTTTCTGAATAAAAATATCTATGAAGTTCTTGAATGTATTTTAAAACTTCGAAAATTAACCTAATGTTCGGCATGCCAGGTTATTTTTAACCAAAGCAATTAACCGGAGGAAATTAAAGGTATATTTTTTTCAATAACACATATTGTTAACCAATTATGCGGGGAAACCAATTAACCGGGTTCAATTATGCGGGAAAATTTACACGTATTTTGTACACAACCCGTACCTGTACCGTTCATGTTGGTCAATTAAGCTGGGGATACTGTACATAGATTTTACTGTACATAGTTTCCTGGGTGTTACGATCTTCGTGGCAAACTTAATAAAACAGATAACAAATGTATGCTGCGCTCTGAATAATATTTGCAAATAATATAAAAAGCAAGAATTGGAAGAGTATGATTATGTCGATAGTGTAAATAGGCCCACTGTTACCCATGTATTGCTACTCTGGTTTTAAAACAATAAAATGATCGATCAGCGGATATACTGATAGTACCGTTATATTTTCTGTATGCGGTAGCCAAGTCACAAGATTAAATATTTATAAATATTTATCCGATTTCATTAACCAAGTATTAAATACGATTAAAATCTGACAGAAAAAATATTTCAGTACTATCTGGGTTAATGAAGAAGTAACATATCACACTAAATTGAGAGGGCACAGAAATGCGATATAAAACACAGCCCTGCAAACCCAAAAACTTTTTCTTGTTGCCCTTGATATTTTAGTAAATTTTGATGTTTTTAAGTGTCCATATAACAAATTTATTCATAAAAGTATTGAATGTGATCTTGTTTTTATGATTATTGTATATCTTGTATTTTGATCAATTATCGGCTTGTTAGCAATAAAATTTATTTTTCCAAACGCAATAAAGTGTCTGCGCACCTTTTTCGAGTGTTCAAACACCAAGATATCCCCACTCAATCTCCTTACCGAAAATATACGAAAATTTAAGCGGAAGCTTTATAAAATGTCTGGTTTAACTCAATGAAATATTTAAACTTGCATTTTTTAAAATATCCTGTTTAACTCAATGAAAGTCTCGCTTTCATTTCAAAAGAGGTTGAATCATATATTTCTCAAAATGATCTTAGTTTAATACGTTTTCAAGTTAGGAATGATAAAACAATTTTTCAAAGCTTTGGAAGGCTATTTTTTTAATTACAGTTGTTGAAAACTTCCGAAGTTTATTATAGATGAATTAAAAAGTGGAATATTTGATGGTCCACTAAAAAGGCAATTAATGAAAGATACATATATTATCATGGTTACGACTGATTCGGGAATTGAAGCTTAGAGAAGAATGTGTATAAGTCTAAAATTTCCTGGGTAACCATAAACCACTAAGTTATGAAGACATTTTTAAAAATATGACAAATTTTACTCAGTCTCTAGGAGCAAAATAAATTTCCTGGTAATTTACTAATTAATAACACTAGTCAACAAATCTAAAGGAAAATATGCGACTGGTGTGCTAAGAGGTCCGTGGGGGTAATTAAAGTGACGTGATTACGAATTTTAGTTCAAAAATTTGCCATTACGTACAGTTTTTGTCATTTTAGTAAATAATGGTGGTTTGACCCCTACACCTCTTGACCAGAACACAAAAAATCTTGCGTGTTAGGGAATTTTTACTATCATTTTCGGTTTAAGCAACCGAAAACATCACAGTTGCAAAATGAACGCAAACTAGTGTAATCGGAAATTATAGTGAGGAACAGAGAGTGGAAGCGTGGAAAATGATGAAACTGAGGTATCAAAGTTGATATATGACATATGATGGCAGATTACTGCTGGTTCTTAAAATGATGATAAAAAAGAAATGCTTATAAAAGGAGTTTTATTGAAATACTAACGTACCCCATCCGCTTCGCTGGAAGCAAACTCATTTGAAACACACTTTAATTTTTGTATTTTATTTAAAAATTATGAGAAACTTAACCATGATACAAAAAATTAAAAAAATTTTTATAACCAAAAAAAAACTTATATATTATCACTTTTTAATTAAGTGCTCTACGATAGAGGATGTTTTTTGTTTTCCCATTTTTGACATAAATATATAATGATTATGGTTTACTAGCACGTAAATAGGAAACATATAATTGGGCATGAGAAAACACGGGTTTTTCCATATTTATACTGCAAATCTGCATTGATTGTCTTTGAGATTTATTTATTGTTATTGCAAAAGCAGTACGAAG